GAAAGACAATGGATGCCAACCAAGAATTCTGTATCCAGCAAAATTAAGCTTCAGGTATGACGACAAAATAAAAATCTTTCATGATAAACAAAAGCTAAAAGAATTTGCAGCCAGAAAACCAGCATTGCAAAGCGTCTTGAGCAAAACACAACACGAGGAAGAAATGAAAAACAATAACCAAAACCATCAGTGGGAAGTGCCTCGGTAAAAACAGAGGGCGGGGGAAAAGCTAATCATGGAGAAACAAACTAAATTAAAAAAAAGATAAATAATCAAACATGGCTGGAAGTACAAACCATATATCAATAGTAACTCTAAACGTTAATGGCTTAAACTCTCCAATAAAACGACATAGGCTGGTAACATGGATTAAAAAAACAAATCCAACAATATGCTGCCTCCAGGAGACACATCTGATTGGAAAAGACATACACAGGCTGAAGGTGAAAGGTTGGGAAAAAATATACCACGCACACAGTCCTCGTAAGCAAGCAGGGGTGGCCATCCTCATATCGAATAAAATCGACTTCAAGACTAAGTTAATCAAAAGGGATAAGGAAGGACATTATATACTGTTAAAAGGAACCATTCACCAACAAGACATAACAATTATCAATATTTATGCACCAAATAATGGTGCTGCGACGTTCATAAAACAAATTCTCCTCAAGTTCAAGAATCAAATAGACCACAACACAATAATTATGGGTGACTTCCACACACCTCTCTCACCATTGGACAGATCCTCCAAACAAAAGTTGAATAAAGAAACTATAGAACTCAATATCACCATCAATAACCTAGACTTAAATGACATATATAGAATATATCAACCATCATCAAGTGGATATACTTTTTTCTCAGCAGCACATGGATCCTTCTCAAAAATAGACCATATATTATGCCATAGGGCAACCCTCAGTAAATATAAAGGGGTGGAGATAATACCATGCATTTTATCTGATCATAATGGAATGAAACTGGAAATCAAAGATAAAAAAAGGAAGGAAAAATCCTACATCACATGGAAAATGAACAATATGTTACTGAATGATCAATGGGTTACAGAAGACATAAAGGAGGAAATCAAAAAATTCTTAGAGATAAATGAAAATACAGACACAACATATAGGAATCTATGGGACACAATGAAAGCAGTTTTAAGAGGGAAATTCATCGCCTGGAGGTCATTCCTCAAAAAAAGGAAAAACCAACAAATAAATGAGCTCACACTTCATCTCAAAGCCCTAGAAAAGGAAGAGCAAAACAGCAGTAAATGTAGCAGAAGGCAAGAAATAATTAAAATCAGAGTGGAAATCAACGAAATTGAAACAAAAGAAACTATTGAAAAAATTAACAAAACTAAAAGTTGGTTCTTCGAAAAAATAAATAAGATCGACAGACCCTTAGCCATGCTAACGAAGAGAAGAGAGAGAACTCAAATTACTAACATACGGGATGAAAAAGGCAATATCACAACAGATGCTACAGAAATACAGAAGACAATTAGAAATTATTTTGAAAACCTATATTCCAATAAAATAGAAGATAGTGAAGACACTGATAAATTTCTTAAGTCATATGATTTGCCCAGACTGAGTCAGGAGGATACACACAATTTGAACAGACCAATATCAATGGATGAAATAGAAGAAGCAATCAAAAGACTACCAACCAAGAAAAGCCCAGGACCGGATGGGTATACAGCGGAGTTTTACAAAACCTTTAAAGAAGAAATAATACCAATACTTTTCAACTTATTTCAGGAAATAGAAAAAGAGGGAGCTCTTCCAAATTCATTCTATGAGGCCAACATCATCCTGATTCCAAACCAGATAAAGACACCTCAAAGAAAGAAAACTACAGAACAATATCTCTGATGAATCTAGATGCAAAAATCCTCAATAAAATTCTGGTGAATCGGATACAAAGGCACATCAAAAAAATTGTGGACCATGATCAAGTAGGATTCATCCCTGGGATGCAAGGATGGTTCAATATACGGAAATCAATAAATGTTATTCACCACATGAATAGACTTAAAGATAAGAACCATATGATCATCTGGATAGACGCAGAAAAATCATTCGACAAAGTACAGCATCCCTTTATGTTCAAAACATTAGAAAAACTAGGGATAACAGGAACTTACCTAAATATTGTAAAAGCTATATATGCTAAGCCTCAGGCTAGCATCATTTTGAATGGAAAAAAATTGAAGGCATTCCCTCTAAAATCTGGAACAAGACAGGGATGCCCTCTATCACCACTTCTATTCAATATAGTTCTCGAAACACTGGCCAGAGCAATTAGACAGACGAAAGAAATTAAAGGCATAAAAATAGGAAAAGAAGAACTTAAATTATCACTATTTGCGGGTGACATGATTCTATACCTAGCAGACCCAAAAGGGTCTACAAAAAAACTACTAGAACTAATAAATGAATTCAGCAAAGTGGCAGGATATAAAATCAACACGCATAAATCAAAGCCATTTCTGTATATCAGCGACAAAACTTCTGAAACGGAAATGAGGAAAAATACTCCATTCACAATATCCTCAAAAAAAATAAAATACTTGGGAATCAACCTAACAAAAGAGGTGAAAGATTTATACAATGAAAACTACAGAACCCTAAAAAGAGAAGTAGAAGAAGATCTTAGAAGATGGAAAAATATACCCTGTTCATGGACAGGTAGAACTAACATCATCAAAATGGCGATATTACCAAAAGTTCTGTATAGGTTTAATGCAATGCCAATCAAAATCCCAATGGCATTTCTTGTAGAAATAAATAAAGCAATCATGAAATTCATATGGAAAAAAGACCCAGAATAGCAAAAGCAATTCTAAGCAGGAAGCGTGAATCAGGCAGTATAGCGATACCAGATTTCAAACTATATTACAGAGCAATAGTAACAAAAACAGCATGGTACTGGTACCAAAACAGGCGGGTGGACCAATGGTACAGAATAGAGGACACAGAGACTAATCCACAAAGTTACAACTATCTTATATTTGATAAAGGGGCTAAAAGCATGCAATGGAGGAAGGATAGCATCTTCAACAAATGGTGTTGGGAAAACTGGAAATCCATATGCAACAAAATGAAACTGAATCCCCTCCTCTCGCCATGCACAAAAGTTAACTCAAAATGGATCAAGGAGCTTGATATCAAATCAGAGACTCTGCGTCTGATAGAAGAAAAAGTTGGCTCCGATCTACATATTGTGGGGTCGGGCTCCAAATTCCTTAATAGGACACCCATAGCACAAGAGTTAATAACAAGAATCAACAAATGGGACTTACTTAAACTAAAAAGTTTTTTCTCAGCAAGAGAAACAATAAGAGAGGTAAATAGGGAGCCTACATCATGAGAACAAATTTTTACTCCTCACACTTCAGATAGAGCCCTAATATCCAGAGTATACAAAGAACTCAAAAAATTAGACAATAAGATAACAAATAACCCAATCAACAAATGGGCCAAGGTCCTGAACAGACACTTCTCAGAGGAGGACATACAATCAATCAACAAGTACATGAAAAAATGCTCACCATCTCTAGCAGTCAGAGAAATGCAAATCAAAACCACCCTAAGGTACCATCTCACTCCTGTAAGATTGGCAGCCATTATGAAGTCAAACAACAACAAGTGCTGGAGAGGATGTGGGGAAAAGGGTACACTTGTACATTGCTGGTGGGACTGCAAACTGGTGCGGCCAATTTGGAAAGCAGTATGGAGATTCCTGGGAAAGCTAGGAATGGAACCACCATTTGACCCAGCTATTGCCCTTCTCGGACTATTCCCTGAAGACTTTAAAAGAGCGTACTACAGGGATACTGCCACATCGATGTTCACAGTAGCACAATTCACAATTGCTAGACTGTGGAACCAACCCTGATGCCCTTCAATAGATGAATGGATAAAAAAAAATGTGGCATTTATACACCATGGAGTGTTATGCAGCACTAAAAAATGACAAAATCATGGAATTTGCAGGGAAATGGATGGCACTAGAGCAGAGTATGCTTAGTGAAGCAAGCCAATCCCTAAAAAACAAATACCAAATGTCTTCTTTGATATAATGAGAGCAACTAAGAACAGAGCAGGGAGGAAGAGCAGGAAGAAAAGATTAACATTAAACAGAGACATGAGGTGGGAGGGAAAGGGAGGTAAAAGGGAAATTGCATGGAAATGGAGGGAGTCCCTCATTGTTATACAAAATTACATATAAGAGGCTATGAGGGGAATGGGAAAATAAACAAGGAGAGAAATGAATTACAGTAGATGGGGTAGAGGGAGAAGATGGGAGGGGAGGGGAGGGGGGATAGTAGAGGATAGGAAAGGTAGCAGAATACAACAGACACTAGTATGGCAATATGTAAAAATGTGGATGTGTAACCGATGTGATTCTGCAATCTGTATTTGGGTTAAAAAAGGGAGTTCATAACCCACTTGAATCTAATGTATGAAATATGATATGTCAAGAGCTTTTTTGTAATGTTTTGAACAACCAATAAAAAAAGATCAAATTAATATCAATATATTAGAAGCCCATGGTACCAATATCAGTGTCATTTGTGGGGAAAGGTAATTTTATGATAAAACATGCTTAATTAAGTTTGCTGACTTTCAATAGTGATATAGACAGAACTCCAAATCACCCTTGGAGTCTTTTTCATGGTGACAGACCAGCAGCCAGTTCTCAGCTAGATATGGTAGCCTTTACCTCTACCTGCTGCTCTCTAGAGGCAAAAACTTACAAGGAGAAGGGAAAGGAGAGTGGATCATCTGAGGGTTTCGATAAGTAGCTTTCTGCTCAGTAGAAAGAACACATTTAGTATACATTGGGCCAGTGTTCTTGGATAACATTGTGAGGTGCTAAAGGTTTATTTGTTAATTGTTATTTTCAATAATCAACATGAGTTTCATTATTCATGCAAAACAAAACAGTCTTCTTAGCCAAGATCCTATGTTGACAATTTCTGGCATTATTTAGTCTTCCAGGAAAGACTGGCACTTTTCAATCAGTTTTGACCCCTAGAGAAAAAAGCAAATAAGCACAAATGTGAGGGGGTGGATGGGGAAGAAGAAATGAGAAATCTAAACAACTATGGTCCCCAAGTAGAAAAACCTTCAGGAATTACTATGCCCAAGATAGACTCTACTATAGCCTTTCTTCAAGGTACTTTCCCACAGACTTAGTCCCTTAGCATAAAGATTCAATTCATTTCAAGCTCTGTTCTACTTTGGGGACAAATATATATATATATAAATTTTTTTTCTCCTCACAAAAATCAAAAATGCTGTACTCTTTGCTGCAGGATATAAACAGATCATTAGCATCAACCTCTTACTGAATTGTAAAACTAGTCTAGTCTGGCCCCCTTTACCACTCAGTGAGGTACAGAGACACCAGCACCAGATTTGAACCACACATTTCCACCACTGCATGTGGACGTGAATAGACCTCTATATTCAGCCCAGCAGTTCTCCTCTGTTTTTACCTGTACAGTTTTTATTCAAATAAAAATCATTTGTAGCAGCCTAGACAGATGAAGTGAGATCTTTAGCTAAAGTGAAAATGGAGCTTCAGAACCCCACTGTTAAGGTATACACAGACACACACATACACACACACACACACACACACACACACACACGCACAGCTGACTAGCAATCCTATGAGCTCCAGGGACTCTGTGGAAAATCTTTACAAGACTGTTAATTTAATCCGTCCTCCTACTCTCTTTAAAATGTACCACACTAAATCATTCAGACACTTTAGAATCTATTTAGGATTGTTTTTATAAATATTTCTGGAGTTCAAGATGCTTATTTGGTAATCCATGACTTTTTAAATCAATTTTCATGGGAAAGTTCTTTATAAGTGTAACCCAAGACCTTCAATATTTAATCTTGTCAATTTCTCTGAACAATCTTTTCTTACATCAGTCCTTCCTGACCACACTTATTCCATGGTTCCCTGGTAAATTTCTGTTATGATAAAAAATTCTGTAAAAAGAAAAGTTTCTGACTAAGATGAGGTAAAAGAAAGGCCTCTAAGAAAAATATTTTAATAATGAGAATGGCCTGGAATGAAATAAAACCAGTGTTGATAACGCCACAGCTAGAGACAAGGCCCATCCAAGACTTAGTTACAGGTTATGTAAAACATGGACTCATGTGAGGGAATGTGGAGGATAGAAAAGAAAAATCTTCTTTACACTGAGTTCAAATTTCCCACTGTTTGATTTACTATGATGCTGGGCCTGTTGGGGGACTGCTATCATGTCACCCACCCTCAGATTTAGGATAAGTATTACCAGTCTATTCCTCCATATCCCCATGACATGGTTTTTAATCCCTTTTCTACTCTGTATACTCTGGACTTAACAATTTCCCATATCCTTTTAAAATGTGTTATTCATCTTTTCTGCAATCACAATGCAGTAACAGTAAAAATATACAAAAAGAGAAGAAACCCCTGTCAATGTGTTAAAAACTATAAAAAAGCACTATCAGTGTAAGAGATGTTGATGAGAAAAAAGAAAGCAATTGGGAATAATATTGACCAATATATCAAAGTGGATAAATAGGATCTCAGAATAGCAACCATAAAAAGATGTATCAGCAGCAAAAGACCAGAGAGTCATTGATTTCTGCGCTGTTTTTGTTCCTTTCTAGTGCCAAGTCCATTTTTTAAAACTTCCCACAGATTCTTAAAGCCACCATTGTGCTTTAAATAAATTCATTTTTTACCTGGGTTAGATTAGCCAGAATTTAATTTAATTAACAATTAAAGAATTCCCTCTGGCACACCAGCAAAAGTTCTATGCAAATATGTGGACAAAATAATCTTTAAAAATGCAAAGAACCAAAAAGTTTTTCTCCAAGGTATTCATTCTGAAAAAGAAAAAATAACAAAAGACAGACATAACTTGAAAATGCAGCCCAACAAAACTTAAACGAATTCAAGAAAGAACACAACATGGGATAATAGAAATAGTCCAATTTACCCAGGATTGCAATGAAAAGAAAACTCATGTGGATAGATACTACTTGGATCTAAAAGTAACTCAATTCAAACTGAAACATTAACCCAAAGGAGTTTTCAAAATACAGCTCTAAGTTGATAGAATATTCTGTCATAGAAAGTATGTAAGAACCTGAAATATTTTAGTGGTGTAATGAAGGTAGGGGCTTTGTTGTTTTGTCAACATAGAAAAAGAAAGTCAAATAAAGTTCTCAAAAAGGAAGAATATACTAGGAAATATTTAGTTTGCATATTTGGAAAACTAAATAGATGCAGGCTGATTATGCAAAACTAAGTAGATGTGGCATGATTTTCTGCAATTGAGAATATATTAGAAAAAGAGAAAAGATGGCACTTAATCTTGACATCTGTAAGATCATCTCTTTTGAGAGATAGAGGGTAAGTTACTGACCTCTTTGTCAACCTGTACATGGTACTGTTATAAATAATATTTCAAGTAAACATGCCATTGAATAGACTGTTTAATAGCTCCCAGCTTACAGCAGCAACCTATTAACAAAAGACATAAATGTTATAGAAGCAAAGCAGGCTGTATAAATCTAGACAAAGCAGACGTAATAGAATAGCTTTTTTAAAAGATAGGAAAGGTGGGCTGAGGTTGTGGCTCAGTGGTAGAGGGCTCGCTTAGCACACGTGAGGCACTAGGTTCAAACCACAGCACCACATAAAAATGAAATAAAGATATTGTGTCCACCTACAACTAAAAAATAAATATTTAAAATATAAAAATAAAAGATAGGAAAGGTTGCACAGAAATTAAAGGAAGTTTAGACATGTCAATCGAGTTCTCAGAGGATTATTAGATGCTGAGTAAAGTTGAAGGATCAAGAAATAGAATATAACCAATTAAAACCAACAATAAACACACACACACACACACATACACATACACACAGAGTCTTTGGATACAGACAGGATGATTGAAGTGAGTGTAAGTGCACTGTATTTTTAAGTGATGGTAACATTTTAAAAAACTATTAAAAGGATGATAAAAATCACAGGTTACTAGTAGTGAAAGTTTAAGATTGGTTGCCTCTTGGAAGTGAGGAAGCTACTCTGCTCCTCTACTTGAACTTTTGCTAAATTTATGTATTACTTCTATCACTTTCAAGATGATGTAGAATATCAAGAGACAATGAATTATAGCAACCCCAAATGATAAGATCAATATAAACTGAGGTTATCAATTTGTGTGATCCAATCATAGTTTTCCTTCAGGAATGCATGCCAATATTGCAGTACCTTTGACAGTAGAGCAATCAAGCTGTGAGTCTCGTGGTTACATATAGATTATTAAAGCCAACAGATCTCTTCACATGAATTTGTGCTAAGTAAGCCTCATCCAACAGTGAAACTTTACCTTTTCTTCTTTGTTAAATTTCATATGTTATTTTCAAACCATCATTTCAACCTGTCCAAACATCTGCTAATTCATATTAACTTGGTTATTTTCATAGCAGAATTCTCATAACAGAATATGGGATCATAATAGAATATCCTCATAGTCTACTGGTTTGTAGATTAATGTCTCAGAATTTAATTATCATTCCTCACAGGGAGGATTTTCTGTGAGTAGCCTAAAGAATTTCTGTGAATACAATTTTCTCTTTGAGCCTGTGAATGACTACAATTCACATTACTTCATGAAATGTATAATGCCTCTTCTCTGGACACCCCAAATCCACACTGGTAAGTTGGTAGATAGGTTGAACAGGTTATATCCTGTTTTCACTCTGTGAATTTCACTCTGTGTAGATAATTTCACTCTGTGTAGATAAAATAATCTGAATCTCCTGATTTTTTCCCCTTTTATGTTTCATTCTTACTTTTGCCAACAATGTAATATTGACTTTGTCTCTCCTTTTTCTCCTTAGAACTCTCCTTTATTGTGGGCTTACTTCTTAAAATATGGCTTCCATCTTATCTATAAATTGCTTTCCCTCCCAACAGATATAGCTGGACAGGCAGGTTTTAAGCTTGCCCACTTTTCTTTCAACAGGCAGAACAGGCTCACATAATCGACTGCTATTATCTCAGAAAAGAAAACAAAGTATATGCCTTGTAGGTCCTTGGAGCAGTTAGTCTTTCACAGACCTAGGAGCACCTATGCCTCCTCACTCCTGGGATTGGGTTTCGTGGAGACTCCTGGGAAGTTCCTGGGTATTATTCCTTTGCACTACAGTCAATCCCAGACTCCTTCCACAAATGTAGAAGCCAGAGGCAAAACATTAGATTCCAAAATATGTTCATATTCTCTTCCTACCTTGTATACTAGGCATTTTTATATTCAGTTATTTTGAATATATTGTCTTCTTATCCTCATATTTTATGTCCCCCAATTCTTTCACAATTATGTTATTTTTGAATTGTTTTTTTATGTTACAGTCCTTGGTTCCAACTTCTCACCAAGAGTTAGTCATAAGGAAATACTGAACTGGAGGAGAAGCAGGTTATGATTATTTAGGAGCACCTTAGACAAACGCTTCCTAAAATGTGCTGCCCACATCAGCAGCAGCAGCACCAGGAGCTTGTCAGAAATGCAAATGATCAGTCCACACCCAAGACCTACTGAATCAGAAACTCCAAGTGCAACACATTTATTTCATTTTAACAAGCCTTCCAGGTGATTCTACTACACACAAAAATTTGAGAATCTTGCCTTTGAATAACTGCACAAAGGTAAACCTGACCAAACTTCAGAGATTGGCATAATTATGTAAAATAAGCATTTTTGTCTGGATTTTTAATTTTAGTTAGCATGACATACTCTTCCTATAACTTCTGTTTTCACCCTGAATTTGGGGAGAGATCCTAAAGTAATGAAGGAAGGGAAAGAAAATGAACAATATTTGTCCTTTTTAATCATTCAATTGAAAATTTCTTTTATGACAACAATTTTAAGTGAAAGGAAACAGGAATCTTCCTGTAACACTCTTGATGAAATAATTTGAACAAGTAGAATTCTACCTCAAAAGGAAGATCACTTCAAAAACAGTCCCTCAGAAATCAACAGGCACAGCCCCTTCAGTGAAAGTATTTTTATGAGTGGGATATGAAGTGGGGACATATTTTCTGAATGCTTTGTGAAAGTTAAAATGTATTTAAAATAAACAAATAGACTCTAGTATTTGTGAATATATTCATTTTTTACTATTCCAGAGGTCAGCAAATATTTTCTGTGAAAAGCTAGATTGTAAATATTTTGGTCTTTGTAGTTCATATATTCTCTGTCTAACTATTCTGCCACTATAACAAGAAAGTAGCCATAGACACGTGATAAATTAATGGGTGGATCTGTCCTTCGTCTGAATTCTCTTGCTGTAACAAAACCATTGAGGATGGGTAATGTAGAAAGAGAAGAAGTTTATTTGGCTCACAGTTTTGAAGGCTGAAGGATTAAGATCATATAGCACTATCTGGCCTTTGGTGGGAGCATCCTGACAGATAACATTATGGTGGGAGTATATGTGGAGAGACCACATGGCAAGACAGGAAGCCAGAGAGATTCAAGAGCCAGGCTTATTCTTCTATGATTACCTGCTGTTGTGGGAAATAACCACAGTCCCATGAGAACTACATTAATTCCTTCTGAGGGCAGTACCCTCAATGACCAAGCCCTGACAGTAGGTCCACCACTTCAACATGACCACACTAGGAGCTAAGCTTCCAGCACACGAACATTTTATCCAAACCACAGCAGTCTATCTGCCAATAAACTCTTACTGATACATAAACAGGAAGCAGGAGTGATTTATCCTGAGGACAGTCATTTGCCTGCCCTTGACTAGTCTATATACGTGGTCCCTTACTTATGATGGTTTAGGATATTTTGACTTTATGATGGTATGAAAGCCATACAGGTTCAGTAGAAAGCACTTTGAACTTTAATTCTGATCTTTGCCCAGGCTGGTGATATGCTGTACTATATATAGACATGCTGAACAGCGGCAGTCAGTCCCAGAATCACAAGGGTAAACAACCACACTCTACAGTGTACTGGGTTGCTGCAATATGATGTTTGAAGATAAGTGTATTAAACACATTTTCAACTTGTGAAATTTTCAACTTAGGGTCTGTCAGGATGTAGCCCCATCATAAGTTGAGGAGCATCTGTAGCTACGTGAATATCAATATAAACACATGCAAAGTTTAGCTGAATAGTAGAAAGAAGCCACTGCAGGTAATTAAGGCAGTAGTGAAAATTATTACCTTTGAAAGTATTATCCAGGGCCATTGCTAAACTTACCCTTACTCCTAATCAGTCCCAGCTGGCTTGCCAAAGCATCAAGATACTTTCTCTCTTTTTGTTAACTATATACTCACCTTCCTGTACTCAGATTCTATCACCTGCTGTACTTTAATTTCTGCTCCTGAGTTCATGTCTCTGCCAGTCCAACCCAGGTACTCCTGCATTAATTCCCCTTTGGTGAGTTTGCATGAATTTGCTGTGGCACATCCTACCAAGATTTTCTTTGCAATGTAAGTTGCATAATTCACCAACTTGTGAAAAATAATTTACTTGTTAATTACATGCAATTAGATTAATTACAGAAAATATTGTCCTGGTAGTTAGCTTGGGGTGTGTGTATACACAGGTCTCTTGATCCTCTCAGTGTTCTGTCCTGTTTGTTCTTTAACTCCTGTTCTCATGAACTTCTGAGCACTGAGAAAATAAAATCTGTTTACCTAGTTCCCTAGTTTCTCTCCCAAACATAGTTAGTGACCTGATTGCGCCCCTACGTTTCTAAAACAAAACTCCAAGTTTCCCAGACAGGTTTTTAAACTGTTAATTTTGTGTAAAAAAATTTTTTTTAAATTCTTCTATATTTTTCAATGACATAATTTCTCTATAGTTACACCAATTCCTCCTTCTTCTCATACCCAGTGCTAAACATTCCCAGTCTATCTGGTGTCATGATTGCTGTATGCATCTCTATTTGTGCCAAATTTCTTCAAATACACATAAATATTCAACTATTCCAAGATGAAATATAGTTAATGACTCAAATCCACCTTGCCTGATGTTCTAACCTTTTCATGATTGCAGTGGGGAAAGGTTTTTTCCTCACAGTAACATTCCTGTTTAAGAATAAACAAGGAAACACAGTTACCTCTTTCTGAAAACACATGTCACTTTCCTCTGCATGGCAGCACATCTCCACCAGGTGCGTGAAGTCCACAAGTACCGACTGGAACTGTGCCTCTGTTGCACATGGTTTCTGCCGCACGAGGCTGATGAGGAGCCTAATCAGAAAGGAGGTGCAAAAATACAAGCACTCTCTGAGGTCCACAGGCCAGATCACAAACCTGCCCTACTTACTCAGAGCTACACACCACCCAGGCCTTATCCTTGCTCCCACTCTCCAGGCTGAAGACCCCCAAAATGGCCCTGCCAGCCTCACTGCCTTCACAATGGCCATTGCTATCTTTATGTTTACAGAGCAAACTTTCTACAAGCATGCCTCCTCAGTACAACCATAATGTTAAATTTAATTCTTTATTGCAATTATTAGTAGGTAAACATCTTTGTTTTCTGCTGTTTGATTGCATACGGATAGTATATAGTGAATTAAAGTTTTTCCTATATTTTTTGTGCATTCCAAACAATTAAATTCCAAGAGCTGGGGATGCAACTCAGTAGCAGGACATTTGCCTAGCACATGTGAGGCCCTGGACTCAATCTCCAGTTCCGCAAAAATAAACAAACAAATAAATAAATAAATTTCCAAGCAAATTACAAGTACAATACACATAGAAATTGAGGATGCCTTATATGTTATTAATGGTAAGACCAACAAGTTAATTTGAAACTTCAATGATTCATCATCTCAGATTTTCCCCACAGAATTTTCCCCCACAACTATAAACAACAGTGTTTTAATATCTTGAACATTCAACATTGTAATCCGGTTTCTGTCTCCCTATTTAATAGGCATTCAAATCTTCTAATACTAGTGTTGCTTATGCTTACAGAAAATCTCTTTCCCTCCCTCCCACCTTCCCCCCTCCCCTACCCCCTCTTTCACTGTTTCAGAGCAAGAAAACATTAAAAAAAGGAAAATGAGGCACGAACAATAGGAAGGACGTACATTGATCGATATTATACAGCTTACTCAACACCTTTACTTAAGTCTTCATTTTCAAATTCACATTGACAATACTAAGTGGCTTTACCTGTGCTATAAATGAAAGAAAAATATCTTCAAGTTCTCAGTAGCTATTTCTTTTTTTTATTGGTTGCTCAAAACATTACAATGATCTTGATATATCATATATCATACATTTGATTCAAATGGGGTATGAATTTTCTATTTCAGTCTAAATCTGAGATCACCAAACTCTTTCAGGTAGTAAATATTTTAGGATTTAGGATATTACATGGGTACTTCTATTACAAGGCAGAAGACTTTGGTTTGCCTGGGATGGCAGATACAGGTGACAAATACAGTTTGTGACAGCTGTCATTGACTGGAGATGATGGAGAAGAGTGTCTAGCAGCAGGGGAAGGGGTGGTCAGTTTCACTCCACCCCAGTGACAAGGGTCCCAGCACACCCTTTTCTTCTCTCAGCTGTCTCCCCTTATGCAGCAAAGCCAATCACTGAGGCACTTACTCCAGGAGTGAGATACCATCCACCCTTGGCTGACCCCATAGCCATCAACAACAAAGTATATGTGGTACCAGAGCAGGCCCTGGGCAGCAGAAAGCAGGGTCACCACAGGAAAAACAGGCACTGGAAGCAAAGTGGAAACAGATGAAGCCAATCAGCCACTTCAGTTCAGGATTTAGTCTACAGAAGCAGTGCCCACAGCTCCCACAAACACAGCTCGCAGACCTCCATGGAAACGATAAAAGCAGACTTCCAGCTTAAAGTGGCAGACCAGGGACAGGCCACTTTGATATTCTTATTGCAGTGTCACCCTCTCCCATTCCCACCACCCCCACACCCTACCCACACCTGAGTATAAACAGAACTAAACAGCAGCACAACAGGAAGCACAGCCCCTGCTTCTTCCAGAAGTTACCCCAAGGTGAGGCCGGTCTGAGAAGCACACAAGTGGTGCACTCAGCAAGACAGTGCAAAAAGAAGTGAGGCCATTAACTAAGTCCATGTTTGCCTCTAATTCCAAGTCCTAAAAATCTAGAGAAATCAGATATGGGAACAGATTTATGCTCAAGTTTTTCTTTATAACAATTCAATATAGAAGGTGAAGACAATCTTCATATTCAACAATAGGAAATGGTTAAATTCATACTGTGGAATATTATAGATTTATTAAAATGCTACTTTAAAGAATAGTGACAAAATGCATACATGATAACATTTTGACAAGCTATATTTAAAATAGTGGCCATAGCCAACATCTTTTGGTATATTAGTATGTACTACATTTACTGTGCTTCAGGTAATGTGCTGATCACTTTATATATGTTAGTTCATGTTGTACTTTCAGTTGTCTCCTACAAAAAAAGGTCCTATGTCATCTCCACTTTGCTTTTGTAGCAGTGGTTTCAGACTCCATAACAGACTGGTGGGGTGAGCCTCACCCAGAAGCCACCAGCATGGGGGAACTACCAATGCTCATTGGAGAACTCTGCCTGAGATAAGAAGCCAGGCTCCGACTTCCACCCAGTAAGACAGCCTTGGTGAATGAAGTCTGTAAAGTTGTGGTTCCTCAGCCAGGTCTGCAGACACTCATTTCTGAGTCAGACTTCAAAAAAATACCAAGAAAGCACTTTCATTCAAGTCCTGCAAACCATTAACACACAAGCAGCACTGGCAAGTTTCCTCTGAAAGGGAAAGCGGGCAGGGAGAGGTCGACTCTTCCCCTTACAACAAAACATATGCCTCTTTGCTAGTCCAGGGATCCAGACTGCAGCTGAGCAGGAGTCAGCAGTACTGGAGAGGATGACTTTCCCCATGGCATCACGGTAGATAGCATGCCTGGAGAATTCCATCTCCCCGAAGATTCTGGGGATAATTTCTGTGACTGAAATTCAGCATAAACAGATAGTAGCAGGAGCCTACAAACCTGCATTATTAATCATCTAGAATGAAAGATGGATAGAAAGCAACTTTGGGAGTGTGTGCTTGCACATATGACATTGTATGTTCCCATGCTATACATATATTTATAATATGTATCTGCTGTGTTGGAATTAAATTATTATTATTGTCTTCTCTCTACTTTTTCTGGGTTTTCTAAGTGATTGTATATTACTTTAATGATAAAAGAAATCAAAAGTTTTTAAAGAACTAGGAGAATATTTTTCTATCCAACTGTTCTATACATAGTCAATTTTTGTTCTAAAGCAGAACTAAATTTGACCCCCTTCCCTTGAAAAAAACCACAGTGCTTGTTTGTGTCTCTATAAAATTCAAGTCTGCGTAGTTAGGATATATAGTCAAGTAACTTATTCTATCCTTGAATGACAATTACCAGTGTTTAGTTGATTATTTAACATGATAATACAAACTACTTTCCACTGGAATTTGGTGGATTTTTGTGTGTAATATGTTTTCTTACAGAAACAGTAATGCTTGAGGTATTAAAGTGCACTGTCCAACCCATTAAAAAAAATAGTGTAGCTTAAGTCCCAGATTACAGAAACCAGGGATCCTAGGTACCTAAAATAAAATTGTAGACCTTGCTGGCTTACACAGTGGGATGATCATATTTCTAAACACCTGATTTAGATTTCTGTGGTCTGGTAAAGGGGATTGAGTACTATAAGGACCCAAAGTTGATATAAGATAGGGACATCATTTTCTGCTCGTTCCTGTAAAACCTGGATTTCTCTTTTCTTCTAAGATCATGAAAGGTCACAAGTTCTGGTTTGGTCTTCCACTCATTGTTTGGTGAGATGGTGGATAAGACACTTAACCTTTCTGACCCTATTCTATAAAAAGAAAATCTGAGCATGGATACTGCAAGGTTTTTGTGAGAATCAAAAATAATATATTAAAGGTTTGAGCATGGTACCTGGCACACTGAATGTATTCAATAAATAGTGCAAAGAAAATAATAGCAATGAATAAAAATGACAATAATAACATAACACAACTTGCATTCATGTTAAATTATCACTTGTTCCAACCATGGTCTCTTTCCTCCCTTACCCTCACAGTAAGATGGTACATTGTCACAGCTTCTCTCCTATGTATTCATTTATTTTTTCAGCAAGTTCTGGGTGAGTTTTTTTTACAGTGCCCTCAGGACTTGAGTTGTTGATTCAACCAGAACAGGGAACCCTAACAGGAAAGGTAGCAAGTATCTGTGTCATACAGTCGCCTTCTCTTTTCTCACAAGCTGAAGGATCCCAAATGCCCTCGTAATTTGCCCCCCACCCTGGACCCCTCCAGTTTTGTCTCTCATCCTGTCCCTGAGTCACACCTAGCTAGCTGCTCTGCTTGCTTTCCCTGCGGGTCAGCTAGTTTCTGGATGCACTTCCACAGAGCGGCCAGCAGAGGGAAGACGAGCACAGCGGCTGAGTTCCTCCTTGGCCCGCCACCGCTTTAGAAGGGGGGATAGTGGAGGATAGGAAAGGCAGCAGAATACAACAGACACTAGTATGGCAATATGTAAATCAGTGGATGTGTAACCAATGTGATTCTGCAATCTGTATACAGGGTAAAAATGGGAGTTCATAACCCACTTGAATCAAAGTGTGAAATATGATATGTCAAGAACTATGTAATGTTTTGAACAACCAACAATAAAAATTAAAAAAAAAAAAAGTGGTCCAGGCAGTGTCTGGGAATAGGATTCAGGACCCGGCAACTCTGTGCTTCTCAGGAGCTGGACCCTCACCCCAACAACTGTGTTGCACACGGTGTGACTCACGTGCAGTTATTTTACCTCTCCTATGCCCTCCCGCCCTGTTTCTTTACATACCGCCTGAGTGCCTTTATGTAAAATTATTTGCCCTAATCTTTCCAACACTTTAGCTCTTTATTATTTACTTTTTAAAATCTTGACATATATTCTTGACCCATAATATTAGCAACTTGTTTTCAGCTTTTCATTTCTATGGTATTTAATTTTCATTAAACTATCCATCATTTCATTGAAACCTTAGTCTACTTTTAGTTACCATCTACACTCAACATTTCAGCTCAATATTTTTTCTTAATTGCATTTTAAATTATTTTACTTTGAATTTATACTTCCTTTTTGTTTTCTCTATCATACTCTTCAAACTTTTCCATGATCTCAACTTCTGCTTTCTCTTTACCATCTTGCTGATTTTTTTCTTTCTGCTCTAGGAGTCCCTTCACTTGTTTTTACTATTTTGTGGATCTGTGCTGTGATGGTAAGCCAGAGTTATACAGGCTGAGAGCAGTGAGAAAGCCCTTGCCACTATCAGGGAAACTTAGAGAATTTTTTTCAGCCTGACATTTGACTCCCAGGATGAATCCTCCCAGAAAATTCCATAAACCCCTTCATTAACTGTCTCTATGCTCCTGTTTTTTCCATAAAGAGAATTCAGTGCATTTACTGGAACAAAAATGCTTCCTAATATTTTGCACTATTGTCTAGCCTTTATGTGAATAACTCCAGGTTTTAAAAAGTCTAGTGCTTGGTATTATAAGCCCTGGATTTGGGGCACACTAACAGCTTGATGCTGGGAGTTAGGCCTAAATGTTTTGAGCCAGATAGCTTGAGTTCCCATCCCAGCTCAATTACCTGTGGACCTCCTGCATAATGTCATAGCAGGAATTTTTGCCTTCTCAGTCCCAGTTTCTTTATAATTAAAACAAATAAAATATTATCTACGTCATAAATTTATGGTAAGGATTTAATGAGATGACATCATGACATGTGCCTATTTGTGTTCAAGGAATGGTCACTAGAGGAAGCAAACAAAACCTCCTCTCTGGAAATGAAATGGACTCTCTCCTCAATCCTGGGATAAAGAATGATGAACTACATTTTACAAAGGTCTTTGGGTACTTAGTGAAAAGCTCTAAGATTTAGTTTGTGACCAGCTCACCTTGGGAAATGAAAGGACTTCAGGGTCAGCCGGTCTATGAATAGCAAGTACTGCAAAAAGACAGAAAAAGTAACAACCTTGTACTTGCTGACCAGGAGAATGTGTTCACTCCCAAGGTAATGAACACCTGTCTCACTCAGCAAGGTGATATTTTTGTACTAATAATATTTAGACTGCTTTGACAGAATGAGTCTTAAAGTAAATAAATCAGAAATAAGCCGCTACTTCTGATGATCTTGGGAGAAAAAGAGCAATAAGGACCAGAGCCTGCTTTCTCCTGAAGGAGGGCAGAAAGGGTGGGTGGCACTGTAACAGAACTACCCCACATTGGAGGGGGGGTGCTTTGGGTGCATCCTACTGGTTCAGGGAAATGGGAACCTTTGGTGTTTCCTCTCACAGTCACTTCTGGTAGATCCCAACAGGGGCCTCTAACCTGGGCTCTATCACCTACAGAGTCACTCCAAGGATAATATATGGCCCATGGAAATTTCTTGACTCTGGGCTCAGAATGAGGTGGGGTTAGAGACATACATGACTAAGAAAGATGCTTCTATGTCAGCAGCAGCAAAATAAATAAATAAATAAAATGTCTCTAGTAACTGATAGTTAGTGTTCCATTCCATCTATCTATATGAGATCGAAACAGGGGAAGTGCCTTCCCACTGCCTGTGAGATCTTAATCACCTCTACTCTCAGTAGCAAGAGTAACATGCACCCCCTGAGGTTGTATGAATTGCAGGGATAACTGGCAAGGCTATACCCATCATGGCATGCCCTAGTAATGCTCAGAAATCTCATCTCCCAGATGATCCACCTTCACACTGATGCTTTCCACATCCCTAATCTGACCCATCTCCTGCCTTCCTGCTCTCCCTAAGTCTTCTTAGGACTTGGGGCTTTCTCTTAGAAAACTCCCCCATATCCACCTTTTTTCTGAACTTCTCTTTCTCCCTCTATACAAGACATTGGCTCCCTGATGGTAGAGCTTACTCCAAATTTTCTTAAAAGGAGGATATTTTTCAGGGTGGAGCTTTCCAGACTCTTCAATCATGGACACAACTTATTCTTTCTCTCCATGTAGTGACTTTGTCCCGTGGTTATGTAAGCACTTCTAGATGGAGAAAAGTGGCTACAGTCAAACCTGCTCTGATTCCCTCACTTGGTGATTAATCTGCATAAACTCCTTGTATTCTAAACCTCATGCATCTCTCCCAGATGCCATAGGGTTTCTCTCATGGTTGCCACTGGACGTCAGGCAGATGGTGGGCTCATATCTTAGAGTTTTGTGCAATCATTATCTTACTATAGTTCTAAGACTCATTATGATGTATTTTTTATATTTTTGAAATGCGTTAATTCTTTAAATTCAAGAAAATGAGCCAGAGCATGTTGCAGCAAATCTATTGTTTATAAAAATAACAATAGCAATAATAAGTAAAATAAAAATGGAAAAAAAGAGGAGACTATTTTTCCATGAATACTACTGACTTTAGCACTTGGATCCCTTTTACTGCTTCCAACAGATCTCTCCTTTATCCTCTTTTGAAAGCCACAGCTTCTAGGAAGTATATGTCATTGAACTTTTTGTTCACCCCCTATCCCTATTTCTTTCACATAGAGAAAGCCTGGTCATACCCCCTCATTTTCTATGACTTCAGACCCAGTTAATTGTCATGTTTTTTACTATTATCTTACCATTTATTATTTTTTGTAATTTTAGCAACTACATCAATTATGCACATGTGACAGATTGATTGCAAAATGGTACCCAATTGTCTAGCTTTGCGTCCATATCCTTTACAATGTGACTTTTCAATTCTTCTTATCAAGAAATAAAATCTATTTCCACACTCCCTCATCTGAACTGGCCTTGTGACCTACCTCCCAGCAGAACTGACATTGCTCAATTCCAAATCTGGGCCTCGTGGGGTCTCCACACTTGCCATTTCTCCCATCTACCTTATAAAGAAGCTGCATTGGCCTGTCAGATGGCAGGGGACCCCATGCAGCAGAGACAACCATCTTAGTTGAGGCCATACAGAGTCAGCCAGCCCCCAGCTAACTGCGAACACAGGAGCAAACCTTGATGAAAATGGCCCAGGCTAGCCCAGGTCAGCAAACTTGTCCAATCAACCTATAGATTTGTGAGCATTTTTAAGTCATTACATTTTCATATGATTTGTTATGCTGCAAAACTAAATGATACATCTGTGAGTAGGGGATGGGGGGCAAACTTGATAATGGAGTGTAGTAGTGGAGGGGAAATAAGAACAGCCCAGTGAAACAACTATTTTAATAGATGCTATAAAAGTGGGAGTAAGTAAGAGTTTGGGATTCAGTACTTTTGCTGACTTAATCCAGAAGCCTTCTTAAATATAGAGCACCAACTGGGAAATCCTGCTCAAATATAGAGAGAGTGCATTCTGCTGGTAGCATTTCCAATCAGTAGGCTTTTTAATATTGGTAACAGCAATAGCACTTTGCAAAATCACTTACTTGTAAACTTTTCTAATGTGTAAATGTTTTCACATGATACTTACACCTACACATGCATATGTATTTCCCATAGTATATCATTCCTCTCAGGTTCCCCTTAGAAATCCACCTGAGTATAAATCCTGCCTCATCCCTAGTTGATTGTCAAACAATAAAGATACAACATTTAACAATAAAGATACAACATCTAATACAACATTTTGTATTGTCCTTACAATACTGCATGGGGGTATAGTGTCCTTACACTGGCTACATGTAGTGTAGCTTCAAAGGCACAAATTTTGTAGGAAGTGACAAGGAAACATTTCTATTTAACAGCAACAAAAAAAGATGAAGTTTCCAATAACTTAACATATCTAAAGATGAAATAGTCTGCTTTCCCATCACTGGATATATTTATAGATGAACTAAACAGTGTTTTAGAAGGATTTCCTAAACTTGGGGCTGGGAAAGTAATATCTAAAATTCCTCCCATTTTCATAATAATTTAACTGACTTTATATCTTTATAGAAAAGATTTTTGGCATTTAAATGTTTGTTTCCTGTACTGAGAATGCCTAGTAATATTTTGTATTCTTATAATAAGTCACTACAGAGCATTATCTGATACAAGGCACTCCATTAAACAAGGAAAAAGAGGGAAATCAAGGATTCAGGGAGTTGTATTCATAGGCGTTACATTGTCTCCCAGCTGGCAACCTCAATAAATCGCCCCAAAACTGTTCTTCAAAACAGATTCAGGCAATCCTAACAATAGCACTGAAAGTGGTAATAAATAAAGACATACTATTGAGGCAATATCCATCATTCCAATGGAACAGTTCAAGTACTTTCCCATAATATAGGTCCTCAAAATTGAAGGTCCTATGGCCCAAATGATTCTTTTTCTTTTTCTTTTCTTTTCTTTCTTTTTTTTTTCTTTTCTCATTTTGGCAGGAGGCAGTGCAAGGAATTGAACCCAGAGTCTCACATGTGCTAGGCAAGTGTTCTACCACTGAGTCACATCCCCAACCCAAAAGATTCTTAATAAGAACAAGCCAAGGAGTTTACTTTATTACAGGACTTCTCTGGCTTCCATTTTTGATAGAGAAGATTACTTTCCAAAAGGAGAAAGGAAATAAATTATTTCCAAACTTACCTGAACCTGACAACAGAACCCTCTTTGCATGCAACACCTTATAAGACGAATGTGACAAAGTTCACATTTTAGGAAAAACACATTAATTACATCTCTGTTGATATTTCTGATCAGTTTGCTTCTATGTCATTAACTAATCAAGTAAGGGTAACAGGCATGGTAGGCATAATTGTTAAATTGCTGAATATTCTTAATTTCACTTGACTTCTAATACAACATTTTGCTGCTCTGTTCATTTTGCAATAGTTAGATCTGTACTCAGTTTAAATTTTTTTGTATCAGCTCTCTTGTTGCCAGCAAAAAAGGAAAAAAAAGTAAGCAAGCATCCTTACTTTTGCTTTTCAATTTGGAGTTCCTTCTGAGCTTTGCACAAGTGCCCTTTAAGGATGATGACTTGGTCACAAGGTAAAAATGGGGAAATGTAAGTTCTGTCTACTTGCAGATCATCAAAACATGGCTTCCTGAAGGCATATGAGTTGTCACAGCAGTGACCCACACCAGCATTGATAGGCTCAACCTCATGTCTTCTGCACAGAGCTCCAAGAATTAGCTTTGCCTTTCCCGAAGGAGAATTAAAATAAGAGTGATAAAGTTTATGGTTATTGCTTTTTTTTTTGCCCATAGAACATAAGATTACATTTAAGTATTTTCAAATTCTAGTTTCTGCTAATTCCACCTGGATTTCACTGTGTGGGAAAACAGAAGAGTGCCAGGTGCAGCCTTATTCCTAGCCTTATTCTTCCTCCTCCTTCAAATTGAGTTCCGTTGGACCCCATTTTCAGGTTCCTTCCCAGTCGAGTGGATAGACCAGTGTTAATTAAAGCAGGAATTTCTTATGCTCCACCAAATTTGAATCAAGCCTCAAGTCAACACTATTGCTAACTTGACTCAGATGTAAGATTGGTAACTGCAGTTCTTAAGAAGCTCAAATCCAATTTCTTCCTATTTTTTAATAATTGGACATATGTAACCAACCACAGAACTTGGCACACAGTAGATGCTCTATGAATATTTGCTGATTGAATAATGAAAGAACTCCTGGAATCCTATGTTGATTGTCGCCATTTTCTTGACAGTTTTAGACCTGTCACCTTGCCTTACTCCCAACGTGGTTCTCAGACACCCATACTTACCCGGATGCCCATAGGCCCCACAGAGTATGCTGACTACCCAAATTCTCTGTCCTGTACATATGTGAGGATGAAATAATTAAAATCAATAAATTTAATGTATGAGTTTACCCATTTTAGAATTAAACCAAGATATTGCTCCAAAACTAGATTTTAGGAATAAACAAGTCTAATCAGAAGAGTTCCCCAAGGTAGACATGACTCAATTTTTAAAAAAAAGTTTTTTATAAAGGAAGGCAGGGCTAAGTAATAATTTTTCAATCTACAATTGTGGCAAGTATACTTCATCAAAATAAAGACCACTTGTAGAGAATGGGATCCACCATGGACACAGAGCAGAGAAAGTTATTACCAAACAAGAATTCAGGAGTGTTAAGAAAATACTGCTAGAGACCCAGATGCTAAATCTCAGAGACTTGAGTATCTGGTCCCTGGAGGAATTTTACCCATTGTGAGGAAGAAATAGTTTGTCATGATTCCTATAGCCTAAAGGAAATATCTCTCAAGACCATCTGTTTTCCCTCTGATTCTAGGATATGATTACTCATATCCTAATTCAGCCTTTTCATTCAGGAAAAAGGGTAGCCTGGTTATACCAATTATTTCTACTGTTAAAAAGACACTGTTCATTGTAATTGAATACATATGGATTCCCATAAATTTAATACTTGTATGATTAGAATGAGTTAGTCTAAGAAACTATTTTTGAAATTTCTGACAAAATCACTTTAGTGCTTAAATATCCAAGCAATAGACCTTGAGATATGATCCAGGGAAAAACTTTGTGAATCTAACATGCCTGAAGTTAGGGAGGTTACCCTGTTGATAGCTGAAGACAATTAGCATTAGCTTACCTTCAAGAATGTCCCCTGAGAACAAAATTATGAGGCTCCATTGACAGTTTGTGGATGTCCACAAAAGTTAAATGGATTGTTGGGGATTACAAATTAGAACTCTCAGGAACAAGCAGACATAATGTCACCGATATACTTACTGAGTCCTCAGTACAGAAAAACTGTTGCTCATCACTTTGTGGGCAGCATCTGGAGGCTGCAGCTGCCATCTTCTTTGTGAACATAACCAATTCTTGAGCAGATAGTTGTGGAGCTTTCTTGGTGTAAAGGACCATGAGCCTAAAAAATCAATTTGCTCTTACTAGCAATGGTTACACACCCAAACATCAATTCTACAGTTTTCCCCAATAGCTGACATTATCTCTGATTGAGAAGGAACAAGATATTAAATTGAGTTTAATTGTATCCCTTTTGTCCTTCCTTTGGACCAGCACCATATTGAATATATCTGGAGGTCTGTTCCTGCCTCATGCACTGCTCCACTCAAAAACCACCTTTTTTTCTCCTTATCAGGGACACTGTGACAGCTAACTTAGATGGCTGTGAAATCAGACCTAGAGTAAACAGCTTCTGAAACAAATATATGCAGAAACTATAAAGCCTTTAGTGATCATCTGCCATGTGTAGGAATAGAGGGTACAGTAACCATAGCAAGCAGCCCCTGTGCTCTAGGGACTCACATCCTAGTGAGGGAGATGGACAAGTATATTCAATCTGTGGAAAGTACATAGTACTGTAGGTTCTGTCAAGATGAACAAGAAATTAAAAATAAGAAGATCCAATCCTATTGAAAACAAAGGAAGAATTATCCTCCTTCCTTTTTCTTAGTGTATTTATTTTAGAACACTTTATTTTGTATTTTCACCTCTCTTTGAAACTCATACAATTTTTTTTTCAAACTAGAAACAGCCTTTTCCAGCTTTTTGACCCAGAAACATCTTTCTCAAGGACCCAGGAACCATCCTTTTGAAATGCAAACATGAAAGATAGCACCCCTATCTCCCAGTTTTTGTGAGAAGGTAGGAGATTTGCTCCAAGTTGCAAAAGTACTCCCTCTTTTAAAGATATAAGAAGTTAAAAAGTTTATTTTGTTGCTGTTGTTTTGTTGTCATTTTTGGTTTTGTTTTATCTCTGGATGAAGTCACATAGTTAACACAAATGGTCATCCCAATTAACAGATAAAGTTAGGATGAACCATGTGTGACAAATGGTACTGTCAAGTCCTCTCACTTGGAGACTAGTTATTGTTTTTATGAAAACATATATGCAATGGGTTGTGTCTGCCTGGCTGTATTCGTGGAGTGAGATTTCCTTCTGTCTTTGCAATCTCTCCATGGATGGCCTGTGATGCCCATCACATTTTGATTTTATATTTATTCAATTTTAAAAACCCACTAGTTCATTTTTCTACTACCATTGAAGAGAGGTTTTCTGGGTTGGGAGATGTTGTTTTTAATTATATTTCCCAACAGTGCACAAAATATGGCATCTAATCCCATCTCAGGGAACTTAGGCAGGTGGCCCTAAGGAAATGACTTCTGAGCTGAGATCTGACAAGGACTCTGAGGGAGTCGGGTGAAGAAGAATAGAAATCATGAAGTCACTGACTATGGTTTGGTTTGGTTTTATTTGATTGGGGGTTTGGGGACAAAATACAAGACAGAGAGATGTGGGAGAGAAAAAAACCTTGGTTATAAAATCATATTTACATTGTTTTTAAGACATAAAGAATGGATTGGGGATGGGCAAGAGGTAAACTGAGGGAATAAAGAATTCCAAATTCTGACATTCCAGGTGAAAGAAAACCAGGGCCTGAATTAAGAGAGTGTTGGATGGAATCAAAAGAGATGGAGAGAGATTTTAAAGAGACTCGAAAGAACTAGGTGTTGAAGACAACAAAGAATTATAATCAGTTACTGCATTTGTAATGAATGGAGTTGGAGAAGAGTGTGGTTTATATAACATCCAATGAAACCAACAATCTAATCATGTGGTGATCAGAGGGGAGCCCTAGACCACAGTATCAGCATCCCTAGGCATCTGATAGCAATGCAAATACTCAGGCCCACTCCAGACTTACAGAATCAGAAACTCTGGATGTGGGGTCTATATTTTAACACATCTCTCTGCATTTTGATTTATTCCAAAACTTGAGAATCACAATCTAATCCTTCATTAGCAACTGAACACAACATAAAAAGAAAAGTAATAAGCCAAGAAATTCTTTCTAGATGAGTCAGAAAACTATTTTTTTGTGATCCATTATTCTGGACATTTAATTTAAGCTCAGTATTATGAGACACTATATCAAACTGAAGTTTTCTTCAATACTCTACTTCTTAATAGACTATTACAGTAAGGTCTCAAAGATTCTATTGGCTTTTGTTTTGTGACAACTTAATCTTTGAAATACAGTGGGATTTCCCAGGCTTTCTGTACACATATTCTCTTTGGCAAATAACTGATAATGTTTATCTCTTGGTAGTGATGAAAATACTAAATTTGCTTGATGAACCTGACTTAAAACTGTTACAAAGGGACCCTGGATTAGATTTCTGTTGCAGCCTTGACTCAAAAATCACTTGACTCAAACTAAACATTCAAATGTAAGGAAGAGACCTCTGTGAGATTTCAAGGGGACAGTAGGGCCTCCTTTGTTCCCTAACCTCTGGACATTGACTGGCATCTGAGGAGCTGGCCTGGAAAGCCAATGTGGAAATACCCAAAGTTCCATAGACATCTATCTTAACAAAGCAACGGGCAAGTTAATTCTGAAGGGTTTTTTTTTCCTATGTAATTTTTATTCATGCAAATTAATCATATGTAATTGTGGGTTTCATTGTGGGACATTTAAACATGCATATGACATACTTTAATCAATTTCACTCTTCAGTACAGCCGAAGGGGCCCCAGCAAACTTTCAGACTGCCAGCTGATGATTGGCTCACAGCGGCCCCAGCAACTTCTAGCTGATTGGCTCCTCTGCGGTGATGCTCATTGGGCTGTTTCCCCGCCCTTTCAGACTAGGAGCTGCTCATTGGGGGACTTTTTTTGGGTCTGCCCAGCGACCCAGCCAATCGGCCTCAAGAGCAGGAGGAGTGGGGGAGGTGGAGAGGCTTGTGGGAAGCCGGTGGTGGCAGTTGGGCTCTGAGGGTTTTTCCTGAGGAGCTGTTTTATTTGGCATGTGTGGTTCTAAAAATAAAGTTAGTTTCTTTTGACAAGTGGCTCCTGAATTGTGCCCAGCCAGACTGCAGCAGTGGGTTTCATTGTGGGACATTTAAACATGCATATGACATACTTTGATCAATTTCACTCTTCAGTACATGCCCTTGCCCTCCCCTTCTTCCTCCCCATAACCCCCTTCTTCTCTCCTAATGCATTTTCTTCTATTTTTCTTCAACCTGGGAAATTGAAGCAATTCTCAGTGTCAAGAATGAACAGAGGAGAGCCCTAGACCACCAGTCACTAACAAACACAAATCTGAATATCTTAGAGGCATACCTGTCATGGAAGTTACTATCTCCCAATTTTTCATGTAAATCACAGTAATTTTTCACATGATCACGGCTTTCTCGTACCACTCTTTGGAACAGCACTTCCTGGAAAATAGAGATGATTAGTGTTTATATATGGTTGCAAACATTTATCTGCAGCTGAGATTGCAAACACATTTTTAATAGTATAATATAAATGTTTCCCTAAACCCAGATCTTCATTAGTGAGTCCACAAATCTTAAAGCTCACATTTTACTGAAAGAAAAATCACCATATATTTTGTAGCAAAAAAGTGGGACAGCAAGATTGATATCTGGATTCCCATGATATAAACTCATTTGTGGGCTTAACTGCTGTGTTCTACAAACACAAGGCAAATTATTCATCAAGCCAAAGAGAGGAATGCAGAGAAGTTGATAGATTTATGTTTGGTCTGTGCATGTGTGTCTGTTGGTTATTTTAATAATATAGCCTTTTTATATAAGCAGCACAGATATAGATATATACGTACAGAAATATACATATGTGTTAAGAAGTCATGGTTTAATAAAAAAGTCATGTTCAGGCTGTGAACATTACATAAATACACATCAATTGAACTAGATGTAATTTTCAGAGGTAATGGCAAATTCAAAGAATTCTTGAACCATGAAAATAATATTCTAATGAGAAGATACTAATGATCCTGCAGGCTGAACTCTTTGGTAGAAAAAATGATCACCTTACTAGTCAGATCTAATCCACCTTATCCTAAAAAGCAGTTCTTGTTTAGTAAAATTTCCACCCAATTGTGCAAGGAGTTGACCTAGATTTTATTCTTAGCACTGTCTCTACTACCTGTGTGATACCAAGCAAATCACTTGAATCTTCTGAAATCAGTACTCTTGTTATGGTTTAGGTATTAATTGCCCCCCCAAAGCTCATGTGTGAGACAATGCAAGAAAGTTTAGAGGTGAAACAATTGGATTATGAGAGCTTTAACCTAATCAATACATTAATCCCCTAATAGATATTAACTGAGTGGTAACTGTAAGCAGGTAGGGAGTGATTAGAGGAGGTGGTTCACTGGGGGTTGTGCCCTTGAAGTTTACATTTTGTCCATGGTGAGGGAAGCTCTCTTTCTCTGCTTTCTTGTGGAACCATGTCCTAAACAGTTTTCTTCCACCACATCCTTCTGACATGATGTTCTGCCTCACCTCGGGTCCAGAGCAACCATGTCAACCATCTATGGGTTTAGATCTTTGAAGCCACGGACCCCCCAATAAACTTTTCCTCTTCTAATTTTTTTTTCAGGTCTTCTCTATAAAGTGTGCTTGGTAATTCAGGCATTACTTATCATGCCAGGCTATAGTGAAGATCAAATAGGACACTCGTTGTAAAGCTGTTTGTAAATTCTAAACATCCATGCTCCTTCAAGTTGCTATAGTCATAGTAATTATTGTGAAAAACTAACAGTGATGCAATGAGATGGGTGTTTCCATACAGGAGACTAAATCATCTTCCCTAACCTTCTGAGAACAGTGAAGTCTCAGGTGTGATTGCTTGAGGCCAGGCAGGACAAGACGAACCTTTGTACACACAACTCTAGACATCTATTAATGTGTAAGGCATTGAGCAGGAAAAAAAAGCCAGAACTACCCTATCTTAACTCAAAGATAACTGATAGGCTGATGAGAAGATTTTTAGGCTGCCAGCTTTTCCATATTAAATGCACAAGAGCTTCTACCTGTGAACAGTAAGGTTTCTGGCTTGGAAAGGGAATATCTTCTAGGGCTCCGTAAGAGGTAAACTACTCATACTCAAATGGGATGCACTCTCAAGCTACCTGCTACTGTGCTGAGCATACATCTATAGACACTTAAGATTGCTGAAGTTTCTGGAAACAGTCTGTAAGGCAATGACTCACCCAGAGTCACTAAGGTAAGATGTTAGTGCTTGCAATTAGCTAGAACATTTATAATCATCTTACAAAAATATGGCACTACTAACAGCACTGGAATTTTTCCTATTTGTAATCACTGATGAGAAACACATTTTTAAAAAAAAGAAAAGAAAAAGAAGAAATTTACCGCGTGACTATAGCATTCCAAAGGTTTTTCTAATTTACAACATTTTTCCAGTAAATTTTTATATTTTGCTTCTACTCTTAAAATGACTGGAACTGCCAACTCTGGATGTCTTCTTGAATATTCATAGAGAAACCTGTATTGTGTAAAATATATTGGAAGTTAAACAATAAAATTCAGAGGCCATGAATTTACTTAAAACAAACAATAATTACAGTCATGAAGTCTAACTAACTCTAAGGCATGTAGAAACCTTGGGAAAGTGGCAGAGAAGTTTTATTTTGAAATCAGAAAACCAAATCAATAAATAATATGACTTTTCCAAAGTCACGCAGTAATGAATGGCAGATTCAGAACTTGAACCTAAAACATACTTGTTCACTGGTAGTTTCTGGTTCTGAGTCTCTACTTACTTTCACTGGAAATTAATTTCAAGTGTTTGGGTAGAATAACAATCATTTTTCCCTGTAATCTTTGAGGCACTCTCTAGGTGTTGAATCACTGGGTTCACTTATTTTCCAAAGAAGCCTTTAAGTGTGAACAGTTTATTCATAATCTACACATTCATCTCATTCACAAAAACAAAACTGGATTCTAGAATATTTTTAAAGGAATTATAAAATTATGAAGGTGCCTTTGAAGTTATCTTGTCTAACCACCTCAAACCCTGGGGAAATCCAGTGATTTTTACCTACCTTCCACAGCGTATGCATGTCAAAACTGGGATTAGAACTCAAGTCTCTTAACTCATAAACCTTGTTCTTTTTTACACTAGGACCTATGCCTGTTGACTTTGTAATTTTTTAATGGGTACGTTCAGATAGTGGCATCTAATTTTATTAGCCAGTATAAAATACAATTTTGGACATACAGTTAAGGTCATTTTACAATGGACTTTGAGGAAAACTCCAATTCTCCATTGCTTCCCAAAGTGACTTTGAAAATATTTCAACTACATAGCAATATCATCTTGATACTATGTATTGAAATCAGTTTGCCTTTTGCACAAATTAGCATGTACTTCTGAATGGACACCGAAAATGTTAATACCCCTATTCTCTAATCTTTAAAAACTACACCATGGATTTGATAGTGGATATTAACTAGAAGAGTTGGCCATGTACATAAAATAATCTGAAGCTTATGCTCATCTCTAGTCCCTAAGAGTAAAGCTTGCAAACACTGGGTGTTTTTGTTTTTGAAATTCCTATATTAGTAGTCAACCTTCAAAAAATCAAGAGATTTTTAGCTTCTTTCAATGCAGTAGACTCAACATCCCAAACCCACATTCCCACATAACTGTCTGACTGGACCTAAATAGCCACTGCCAACTTTGGAATCCACAAAGCATTTCCTTTTTGCCCAAAGCTCCCACTCGGCTACTCAGTTCCATCACCAACTGGGCCCCATCATGATTCAAATTTGCAACCTCATCTACAGAATCCATATATACATATTCCATCCTTTAGATTTTACAAAAAGCTATATTACTCTTGTAGAAAGTCATCTTGGTTGTCAGTGAATCGTTGGCATACAAATTGGTCTTCTGTAAACCTGCTGAGTGGCAGGGATGAAAGGTCAGGTTTGTCCCCATTTCCTGTGTTGATAATGCATTCCCCTCGGAATGGCGCTGGAAGTTCACAGCACTGAGTGATCTTGCTGGATAGGGCAGCCCGTGTAGAGCAGGTGTAGTTCATAAGCTGGCTCTATAAAACAGAGAAAGGAGGGGGACTTTTTTGATGGCTTCATTCCGGACTTATTTTTTATTGTTATTAGTAGAAAACCAGGGGAAAAATTGGTACCTTAGAGGGCTTTATCTGTAGGCCAAAAAGGTCATTTATAGTTACTCATTTTAGAAAGACATACTCACCTGTTTGAACTTACTCAATTGTCACAGCTCTTTTTAACATCTAGCGAAGAACATATGAGACAGACTTTATTATTCTTTCTATGTTTAGCCCCCCAAAAATACAAATGAAAAATTTGACTGTCTTTCTATTGTGATTTTTTTTGAGGGATTCCAATTTAGGAAGCATTTTGTCCCTGAGTCACATCACAATTTTTCTTTTATTGTATACATTCTATATTACTATCACACTTACATGTTTACTTATATATGCATGCAAATAATTGGGTGTGTATATAAATAAGCTAGTCTCTACATTTAAGGAATTTGCAATCTGGCTGGAGAGTCAAATAATTAAATAACAATCCTAATACATTATAATTTTAGATGTTGTAAGACAAGTACACACATGCTTCGTTGGAAGCAAAAAAGAGAGATTGGCAGTTCAGACTGGAGGGATGTCACAATGAGGATCTTGAATGATTTGAGTCTTGAAAGACAAATAGAAATTAATTTGAAGCAAGTAAAGAGGAAGATAATTCTGGAATTATTTATCTTTATATATAAAGAATCTTAAGGGTACAAAAGAATGACATATTTGCGAAATGGCATATATGTAGGGTGTTTGGAAGTCATTGAGAAAATTTTGTCAAGGAATGATGATGGGTGAATCAAATCAATGATCGGACAGACTGAAGATCTACTGAAAGGTAGAATTCAAAATATTTTAATAAATAATAAATAAGAATGAAAGGGGAGTGAGGAAAAATAACCTAGGATATAATATGGGATAAGGTTGATGATAGTATAATTTACTGAAACTGATATTCAGGGGAACTATCGGGTTTGAGGAGTGTAGTTAAAAAAGGGAAGCCAAGGGCTGAGTAAGGAGAGCAGCTGTTCAGGGAACCGGAGCTGCCTATTAAGCTTGATCAAGATGACAACCTCCCAAAAGCATGGACACCTCGTGGCAGAGCCTATGGGGGAAAGCCAGTGAGGAGCCTGACTTGGATTGGCGAAGGCCTGGGCAAGAAACTGGAAGAATATGTTGTCCTTGGTCAGTTTCTGGTGATAAAGAAAGATGAAGATCTCTTCCAGGAATGGCTGAAGGACACATGGAGCGCCAATGCAAGCAGTCCCAGGACTGCTTTGGGTGCCTTCTTGTGATGTTCTCTGGGGGGCCCTCCATCCCCAGCCCCATTATCAAGTCTCCAGAGTTTGCAGCTGAGTGAGGGCTCCTTGTCCTTTACAAAAGAAAAGATTGCTGTTGTCTTTGGGAGCTCTCTCCCCTCACCATTTCAATCTTTTTGGAATTTTTGCTCTTGCATGCAACTCCCTTTCTTTCCCTGCCAGTTCCATGGAAACCATTAACCAGCCTTTCTGATTGGATTCCTGGCCCCTTCCCTCATCCCCACCTTCACTTCTGTTTGGTATGATGCCCTTTGTCACCTTTTTGGCATAGCAGTCACTGTCCTTATAAAGGTTTTTAGATCAATAAAGTCAATGGACTTCAAAATAAAAGGGAAGCCAAAGAGGGCCAGGGTTGCATGTGAGACACTGGGTTTGATCCTCAGCACCACACTCAAAAATACAAATAAATTTTTAAAAGGTAGTGTATCTATCTACAACTAACTAAAAAAAATGTTTTAAAAAAGGAAGCCAAAGAATTTGATATGGATATATAGAGTTCAATACAATGTAAGGCATCTATGAGACATCTACAAGGAGATTTCCTCTAACAAGTTGGGGGTATAAACTAATGACTCAGGAAAGAAGAATAGAATGAAGGTACAAATCTGAGAGTAGTAACTTTAGTTGAAACTAAATTATGAGTCAAGTGTGCTTCAGGGAAAGTGCCTCAGTTAAGCAAGCACCATGCTCTCAGTGGCTCAACAAACACAAGGTCATCTCTCTCCAAAAGTCCCAGCAGGGAGGAAAGGTATATGTCCTCTAGGCAGTAGTTCTGGGAAGTTGGCTGACAGAGGCTTTGCCATATCCAACCTGTGCCTTCCAATGTAGCCTTCAGCATTAAAGTCTACCAGGTATTGGGGGGTACTGTAGAATATAGCCAGGAAGTTTCTATGGGTCAGACCTAAAAAAGGTATAGACCACCTCTGAACAAAACTAGTTTTGAGACAGGCAGGAAATACAGTTCATGGCCCAGCAACCACCCTGGACTGTGGAAAAGGAGCCTGAATCCTTTGCCGGATAACAACATCTGGAGCAGAACATGTAGGGTAAGAAAAAGAAAGGTCAGCTGATACTGTGGAGCACACCTGTGATCCAGGAGGGTGAGACAGAAGTATCACAAGGTCAAGTCTAGTCTCAGCAACTTAGCAAGACCCTGTCACAAAATAAAAAATAAAAGGGCTAGAGATGTGGCTCAGTGGTTAAGCATCCCGTGGGTTCAATCCCCAGTACACAAAAAATTAAATAAAATAAAGCCACTAACACATCTGTCTAGAATATCAATTTTTAAAGGGTAGTAAAAAAGGAGAAAAAATTTGATAAATGAAACTGTAAGAATATAGAAATTCCAAGATGAAAAACTTTTCCCACCATTTATTGTGGAAGAATAAATTGTTGCATTGATTGACAGATAAAATCATAAAGACAGAGCTATCTTGACTTTGCTACTTCCTGGCTCTGCAACTTTATCAAGTTGCTTCATCTCTTTGTATCTCAATTTTCTAATCTATAAAATGGGTTTAAAAATAATACTTGATATGGCTGTGGGAATTAAATGAATTGATATTTCTTAATATCAAATAACAGAGCCTAACACAAACTAAATGCTATAAAATGGTTTATCAAATAAAAAAAGTTATTACTATACAATCTTAGTAAGTTGTTCCTATAGTGCTATGAAATCAGGGAAAGAGAGAGAGAACCTAATTGAATTGTGTTGACTGGCTGACATAAAGAATGTTAAACTATATTAATTTATGTTACTTAATATTTAATATTAATGTTCATTATAGACATACTGCTTTGTGACATAATGCTGTAAAATAACATGGTAGGATGCAATGAACTCTACAAAAAAATAGTGAAAACCTTCTTGTACAATGTTTATAGTAGCACAATTTTCAACAGCCAAGCTAGCCAAGCTACAGAACCAACCCAGGTGCCCTTCAGTAAGTGAATGAATAAAGCAAATGGAGTATTACACAATGGAATATTAATCAGCCATAAGAAGAAATGACTTTATGACATTTGCCAGTAAACGGATGGATCTGGAGAGTATCATGCCAAGTGAAGTAAATCAATCCCCAAAGACCAAAGATCAAATGTTTTCACTGATAGATGGAAGCTAACCCACACTAGGTGGAGGGGGTGCTGGAGAATAGATGGTCAGTGTGTAGACAAGGGGATTGAAGAGAAGGGAGGGAGGATGGGAATAGGAAAGACAGTGGAATGAATCCGACATGACTTTCCTATGTATACATGAATATACCACAGTGAATCTCACATCAAGTGCATCTACAAGAAATTAATTTAAAAAAAACTGTAGGCAAATGGCATAAAGATCAATATAGAGAAGAGATGAGAGTGTAAGGAAAGGAAGGGGAAGGAGACGTACTGGGGTTTGAACTAGAACATGATACATTCCATGCTTTTATTATTAAAATGGATTCTATTATCATGTATAACTAAAAAAAACCCTAATAATAATAATAATAATAATGAAATAGGGGCTCAGAGTATACTTCAGTGGTAGAGCCCTTGACTAGCATGTGTGAGGGGCCCTGGATTTCAACCCCAGCAGCAGCACAGAAATAAACAAACAAACAAGCATATAAGTAAATTAAAATAAAAGAAGTAAGAAAGTAAACAAAGGAGAGAGGAAAAATTACTACATGAACTGGGACCAGAGAGGAGGGAGACGGCATTCTACTGATAATATTGAGAAATCATCCTTATTTTTCTAGATCAATTATTTACCACTGTACCATTATTTAAGAATTGAAAGCTGTTTAAAGAATAAAGTGAGTTTTAGGAAGAAGGTTCTTACCCTACCAAGAGCACACGCAACTGTGTTGCTTCACAGCAGGTCTCATGCAGATTTTTAACATCAGTGGTCAGTTTGGCAATTTCAGAAAAATTAGATTTAGGTTGTTTTTTAGTGAGCAGAACCAATTCCCTGAAAAGTAAAATAACACATTTTAAACAGTATTTTGAACTTTATCATTTCTAAAATTAGTTCTAGTTCATCAAGTAACCAAAAGAAGAGAAACGTATTTGCAAATGTGAAGAGAGAACATTACAAATGCATTCTACTCCTTCAGTGACAGCAGCCAGAGATCAAGTCACAGAAACAAGCAATTAAACATCATGTAAAATATGGCAATTTTCATCATTTTAGTGATCTCTTAAAGAACTTGAGTTGCTTAGCTAGGCAATGAAATGCAAGGCTAGCTAGGCTTGGAAATGTCTGACTTCCCACTTAAACCTTGTCAACATCAAAGCAGAGATTATGAGGCTGGATCCCTTACTTCAGTGGACAAGGGAATAACTTCCCTGAAATCTCTCTGGTCTTTCTGTGAAAGGATAACTGAGCTCCCAGGAAGTTCACTGTTGTCCTAAATTAGGGAAGAAGGCAATGTAAGGAAGATGCCTGTCTTCATGGGTTAACTTGGACAGAAGTGTCATCTGGACCAGAAAGGAGGCAGCTGAGCAGCATCAAATTCTCTATCTCCACCCTCAAAAGCACTCCTCACTTTTTCTATTTTACATGATGTTGGAGCCAAAATCTTTCCTATCTTCCAAAAGAAAAGAATACCTTTTGTCCTCTAACCTTTAGCAGGCCAAATTTTTTAGTAAATGCCTGTATCTGAATGTCCAAAATCTTTGGTTCACTGAAGAAGAAATGAAGGGATTGAAGCAAATGGGAAAACTTGAAGCAGGAGATGATGGGGGCAGTTGGGTATTATGCAATTTCATCCACAGCCTTGTGTGCTCTATTTGAACAGGCAAGTAACACATTTAGAGAAAGATGCCAGGTTTCTATTGACACACACTGCTAAGTGAGAGGGTAAATGATTTTTCAAGTTTAGTCAAAAGAGCAACAAAGTCCACAAATCCACACAGATAACTTACACAGCTTTTGCTACTTTGTGGTTGAATTTAACCCCAATTTCACATAAATGATGATGTCTCAAAGATATTTCTCTAATGTATTTTCTGATGGGTTCTAGCTGTAAATAGAGAAACAGTATATCAAAGAAATATGATAGCAACAGAAAACATTAATCTCAGAATTTGTAAAAACCAAGGAAAGAAAAATAAATATTATATATCTTCTTGAAATTAGAAAGTCTTCCACTGAATACTTAAAAGAGGCAAAACGTAAAAGCATTAATATGGTTTTTCTTGGGAAATAGAATCTTGCTTCCCTAGAGATCACTTGTCCCAGAACCTCAACATTTGGAATATAAATGAGAACAAGAAAGTGAACAAATAAAAACTTGGAGAGTCACCAGAATAAATTTCAATAATGTCTTACAGTTGTATTTTGCTTTTATCAAAGTTATTAACCTTGCCATCTTGGACAAGTCTCATGCTGCTTAACTAAAATGTGCCCAGTTTACAATATCTATTAATTAACTTCTCCTCCACATGTTCTTCTTTTGTTTTTATTTGTTTTTACAGTACTGGAGATTTAACGCAGAGGCTTTTACCCCTACTCACCTACATCTCTGCCCCTTTTTAAAATTTTGAGATGGGGTTTTGTTAAGTTGCTCAGACCGGCCTTGAACTTGCAATCCTCTTGCCTGAACCTTCCCAGAAATTTGGATTATAGCCATGGTCACTATGCCCAGCCAAATATTTATATTCGTTTACCCAGATTTCTACTTTTGAAGCTATCACAAATTTCCATAAATAAATAAAAACATAATTATGCAAAAATAAATGCATACACATTTTGTTATGATAGCAAAATTTTGAGAAAATAAAATAACACAACTTCAGAGTGACAGTTAAATAAGGCACATTATTTTTGAGAAATTTATATTTCTAATGAAAACAAGTGTGTTTAAGCTCTGATAAAAATTGTATGTTCGGTGTGATCACAACCATGTTTAAAATAAAATCTGTGAGGAAATCTGTGAACAGAGGACATTATTATTATTAAAAGCAAATATACCCCAATTGTCATCTCTATGTGGTAGAAACAGAATATTTAAAAGTTTCCAAAAAGTTCTATATTTTCATTTAAAACATTATATTGACCATATATTATTTTTTCCTATGAGTAACTGTGCCTTACAGTGATATTTTCAAAAACAAGACAGATAATGTATATAAAGGTAATATTCAAACCACAAAACTATCATGATAATAATAGCTTGACTTGAATATTATCAAATACAACTTAATTTTATTTTATAATCAATTATGGATTGTTATTATTTTGTTGTATCACACTCATTCAAAATCAAATGTAATTGAGATTATCCACTTTCCCATAACAGAGTTTTAACTCATAGATCCCATTCTCTGATCATAGACATAAGTTTTACACAATTGATTGTGTAACTTTTCCTAAGGAAGCAGCAAGAGTCACTAGGAACAGAAATCCTAGCAGTTGCCACACTATAAATATCACCAAGTGAGGAAGAGGGGGAAAGATTTCTTAGCTAACTTACAGCACCTGCTTGTGTTTAACAATATGGGGAAATTTAGGACAAATCTCCCCTGGAAAAAATCTAATTATAAGAAACTTTATAATTAAAACATAAATACATGCAAGTTATTTATAAAATTCACCTCCATGGGGGCAGGGAACATCCTTCAGAAATGCTGGGTATTGAGATATGTCTCTGCATGATAACTGGCTTTGGGTTTTTAATTAATATGAAACCAAAAGAAGTAAAAATGACTATCTTGCTTAGGAATTTGGAATAGACTTCCCACCTAACTGGAGTTTATCAAGAGAAGAATGAGGAGGGAAATAGGAAATATATATAAATAGATTTAAGGAAAACAGCTACAATCATTGAGTACTTAGCCTATGAAAGAAACATTATTTAATTTAATTTCTGATAGACAAGGAAAAGCTGATTAAGAGAAATAAAATTGTCCTATTCTAAAATATGAGATTTAGAGGAAATGAGATAATTTCTCAATGAGAAGTTCAAAGAAGACAGCAAGGAAAAAGTGGCACTGCATTTAGTCTTGAGGAATTCATCAAAATAATTGCTAAACTAATATTCATTTTTAGCATGACTTTTGGAAAATTGACCTAGTATTCCTTCAGTAAAATAAAGATGATCACTTTATGTTAATATTTAGAAACTTTAGTGAAAATGCAAAAAAAAATGCCTTTACAATGGAACTACTTACTGATTCACATCTATACAATGAAGGAGGAAAGGCCACATAACAAAGTTGCTTGTCAGATATATATTCCAAAGGTGGCTAAAACAACATCTCATACCCCATGTTCTTACAAAGAGATCTCAACAATCCTCCCATCAAGAGTTAAGGTAGGTGTATGGTCCCCTCCAAATGGATGAGGTTTCATAGTGTGTCAACCAGTAGAGCATGGCAAAAATGACTTCTGACACTAGATATAAAGGACCAAGCAACTTGGTCTTTATCCATTACACAATGCCTTGAAGCCTTAAGCTACAAGTCAGCATCCAACTGCCCTCAGGCTGTTATGCTATGAGGAAGCCCAAACTTACCCAGGGCAGAGATACTGCATGGAGAGACATTTGATATTTTATAAGGAAAAAAAAAAAAGATGGCAAACCAATGCCCAGTGCTTCAGCTTGCAGAATCCCAGATGTCATGTAAATGAAGCTACATGAATTATCATGAGCCAAAAACCTCCAGATGAGCTATTTCCTGAATTCCTTATCCCCTGAAATTATAAGAGATAGTTAACTGATAGTTATTGAGTTGTAGGTGTTTTATTATGCAGAAATAGTGGCTGGAATATTAAATATTTATTATTTATTAGGAAGTAATATCTATGTTATAGTATGCTTCTCAAATCTTAATGATTGGATGAATTTCCTGTGTATCTTGTTAAAATGAAATCTGTTTAGTAGGTCTAGAGATCAGCTTCCAATTTTGCATTTCTAACAAGCTGCCAGGGGATGAGTATACTGTTCATCCAGAGTCATACTTGCCATAGCAAGGCCCTAAACAGCCGTTGGCCTGTGTCTATTATACCTTTATCTGCAGGCATTCGGTCTTATTTTCCTCTTGACAACATGACTGAATAGCTGTTTTGTAGCAAGCAGACATGGTCAGGATAGTGGGTCCATATAAGTATGGATGCCTTCTAGAAATTTCATAACTGTACCTGTAATTTGACAAACACAAAATTGTATAATTTGGAATTAAATAATTAATGGTGATACTATTTCTTAAAAACAGAATTCATTTCGTTTTATTGACCTGAAACTTCTAGAAATGCATAGTGATTCGGATGAAATAGCACACTTTGCTTAAATGCTTCACATCTTCACTATGGACAGATCACTGTGAGGTTGGTCAGACATTCCTTGAATGCCCATGAAGTGACCAAGGCCTGAGGGAAAAGAAAACTCAGTAATATAACCTCCCACTTTTTTATAGAGTGGAATGTAGAAAGTTCAAGAGTCTAAACTGAATTGTAAACAGTGCTGCATAAGAATTAAATTTAGAAGAATTGACAGGTACACAGAAGTCTCTTACGATCTTTCAGAAGTTCTTTCTAGACTATGAGAGTTAACATCATTGCCCTTCAAGGTGTGTTGTTCAATGCATTCATTTGTTACTGAATTCCCAATAACCATTTCCTCTTACTAGTCTTTAAGGCTTATTCAAGACCAACCTGCTCACACATGCAAATATACTCAACAAAAGGCAACATTACAGATAAAAAGTGATTTGATGCTCACCCAAATCCATTTTCTCTTCCTGTGTGCACAGGAAGACTACCTTTCCAGTCTCTCTTCCACTTAAATTGAGAACATGAAACTGAGTTCTGGCTGATAAAATATGAATAAGTATTCTATCTACCCCTTCTCAGCTTGGCCATTCATTGCTTTGTGAAATTCCTAACTATCTTTCTGTTGGAAAGATAGTTACTGTGGAGGAGAATGGTCAGGATTTGAGGTGAGCTGGAAAGAGCTGAGCTATCAGGTGTCAAAGTAGCCAAGTATGACTAGAAGCCAAAATTGAAGTAACAGTTACACTTTTAATCATTTACCAGCATCATAAAAAAACAAGGGCTAAATTGAAGAAAGTGCCAATTTCCCTCTGTTCCATTTTTTCCCATGTGCCAGGGAAAAGGATCCAGTGGATCAGCATAGATGTGGGGTCTGCTCATCCCTGAGGGAGTCCCCCAAAAAAGGCACCCTGGAGCAAGAGAAAGAGGAAGAGGGAAAAGGCTGGAGTGGAAAAAGTCAGAGTAGAGAAATGTCTTCAAGTTTCTCCTTTCATTCCCTAGTAACAGGATTTACGCAGAGGTACACTGGCAATGCCTCTGCAGAAGGTCCTCTAGAAAGAGGTCTTGAAACAGGCAGCTGAACTAGGGGTGCAGCTGTGGGTGGGAGCATAGCAGCCACATGGCAGTCGAGGCCTGCGTCCTTGACTGCAACACCCTTTAGACTCTGCGGTGCACTGGCTGTGTGCCCAGTCCGGTGCCAGGAGGGACTCTTTGAGATGGCCAGTTGTTGGGCATGAAACTGTGGTCAATGATAGCCTATGTTAACACTTTAATAAATGAGTAGTTAAGCTCATGTTTGGATTCCCAGCTGGTCTCCCCTAACATGAGGCATGCTGGAACTTGCTTGACTCCTTTATCCCCGAGTCCTTCCTCCCTAATGTCTGATACAATTTAATTCCTTCTTGAAGTTTCAGAAAGATCCAGAAGCATTTCTACCTCATATGGGTGAAGTAAAGGAGTTTAAGCCATTCATCATCCAGTTGCCCTGTCTCCTATTCATGCCTGGTCTGGATTGCATGTCTAAAACCTAAAATCAAATCACTGCTTTGTTTCTACAGTCGATCATCTGCCTTATTCTTCATGTCTGAGCCTGTCTTGACTAATATAGCCAGAACTGCATTCTTTGAGAGTCAAAGTTTCATATTTCCCAGTCCTTTTCTGACTGTAAACCCCAATTGCTTGCTAGTACCCTCTTCAGACTCATCATATGAATGCTGTGCCAAGTAGGACTCGAAATTATGAGCTCAGCAACATATTTGCTGGAGTGCTATCCGCTCCACATGGAAATTACAGAGCCAGGATTTTTTAAGTTGAAAACTCATTTCTATCTAACCTACAACTGCTGCTTATTTCTAGGCTCTCAATGACAGACTTTTTCTTCATGCTTGTCAGATAACCTCTCTGCTACTTATCATTGACCCTCCCTAATGCTGGTCCCTATTACCTGGTCTCTGTCTCTACCTGTTTATTATGCTATTATGTTTTGCCTACTTGGCTGCCTATTTGACTATACCTTCCAATATCATTTGCTGTTAATCTGCCTAATCTAGCTCTCAAGAAGACGAGTCTTATAGGTCCTATTCATTTTTCTTTTATTTCACACAGAGAGATTTTTTGTCCTGTTGTCTCAATAGAATAGTAATTGTCATTATG